AACTGGCTCGCTTTCTGTCTGAAATCCTGCGGCCTTTCACTGGAAAAAACACCTCTGTGGTACAAAATTCTACTCACCTGGTATCGACAATCAAGGGTATTTCCTTGTCCCCAGACGACCTGCTTGTCAGTTTTTATGTAGTTTTTATGTAGAGTGTTAAATTTCGTGTTCACTCTTCTGAAATTCGTGGTCCGCCAAGAAGTGTCTGTGTTGTTGGCCTGACTGGTTGTGCTTTACATAATGTTCTTTCAGGTTTGTTGAATTCTCGTCTCTCATCTTTGTGTTGTATTTACCTTCGTGATTTGTTCTTGACACCTGATGAAGATCGCTTGCGTTGTGATCGAAACGTCGTGATTGTTTTTTGTTTTAATATAATTTTATTGTATTTCTATATACGTGACTTTACCGAAAAAAACAATGAGTAATTTTATGCAGTCACGAAAGCTTTCATACTTTATTACAGGGGTCGGGAACCTATGGCTCGCGAGCCAGATGTGGCTCTTTTGATGATTGCATATGGCTCGCAGATAAAACAAAATATTCTCACTTGTTTTAATCCATCCATCGATTTTTCACTGCGCATGTCCTGTTCAGGGCTGCAGGAGCAATTGTCCATTATTTTAATTGGATGATACTGGCCTACGTTTGCCGTTGCTGGGTAAAACAGGTAAACGCCCCCTTTTGAATCAGTCTGAGACTGCGTCTGCTCGGTCATTAGCTCAAAGCTAACCCTTCGACGAAGAAGATGGCGAAAAGAAAAAAAGACGACGAGTATCGTACATTTCAGGACGAATGGACCGAAGAATTCGCCTTTGTGGAGAGAGCGGGTTCTGCGGTGTGTCTAATTTGCAATGACAAAATTACATCGTTGAAACGGTCGAATGTAAAGCGGCACTTCGACACGCGCCACGCTACCTTTGCATCAAAATACCCTGCGGGAGACAGCAGAAAGAAAGCGTGCCAAGAGCTTCTGAGCAGGGTGCAAGCTAGCCAGCAGCAACTCCGCGTATGGACCCGGCAAGGTGACTATAATTCGGCTAGCTTTGCTGGTTCTTTAGCAATAGTGAGGAAAGGAAAACCATTCACAGATGGCGAGTATGCTAAAACGTTCATGCTGGATGTAGCCAATGAACTTTTTGATGATCTTCCGAACAAAGACAAGATAATCAAACGGATACAAGACATGCCTCTGTCGGCAAGAACTGTTCATGATCGTACCATCGTGATGGCAAACAAAGTGGAGGAAACGCAAGTGAAGGACATAAATGCAGCGCCGTTCTTTTCTCTGGCTTTGGATGAGTCAACAGACGTGAGCCATTTGTCGCAGTTCAGCGTGATTGCAAGATATGCTGTTGGTGACACACTGCGCGAAGAAAGTCTTGCTGTTCTGCCATTAAAAGGGTCCACAAGAGGTGAGGATTTATTCAAGTCTTTCATGGAGTTTGCTCAAGAAAAAAGTCTACCTATGGATAAACTTCTCTCAGTGTGTACTGATGGTGCTCCGTGTATGGTGGGGAAAAACAAAGGATTTGTGGCGCTTCTCCGTGAACATGAAAATAGACCCATCCTAAGTTTCCATTGCATTATACACCAGGAGGCACTTTGTGCTCAGATGTGTGACAGGCAGTTTGGCGAAGTGATGTCGCTGGTCATTCGTGTGATCAACTTTATTGTTGCCCGAGCCTTAAATGATCGCCAGTTTAAAACACTGCTGGATGAAGTTGTAAATAACTATCCTGGTCTGCTTTTGCACAGCAATGTGCGTTGGTTGTCAAGAGGGAAGGTGCTTAGCCGTTTTGCGGCTTGCCTGAACGAAATCCGGACTTTCCTTGAAATGAAAGGCGTCGGGCATCCTGAGCTAGCCGACACCGAGTGGCTCCTCAAGTTTTACTATCTCGTAGATCTGACTGAACATCTGAACCAGCTCAACGTGAAAATGCAAGGCATTGGAAATACAGTGTTATCCCTTCAACAAGCTGTATTTGCTTTTGAAAACAAGCTGGAGCTTTTCATCACGGATCTTGAAACAGGTCGTTTACTACATTTTGAAAAACTGAGCCAATTTAAAGATGCATGCACAGCAAGTGAGCCCATTCAAAACCTTGATCTCCACCAGCTAGCTGGCTGCACATCCAGTCTCCTACAGTCCTTCAAAGCACGCTTTGGAGAATTTCGTGAGCACACTCGTCTTTTTAAGTTCATCACCCATCCAAACGAGTGTTCACTGAACACAGCCGACCTGAATTACATCCCTGGTGTCTCCGTCAGAGATTTTGAAGCAGAAGTGGCTGACCTGAAGGCCTCAGACATGTGGGTGAATAAGTTCAAGTCACTGAATGAAGATTTGGAAAGAATCACACGACAGAAAGCGGAGTTGGCGAGCAAGCACATGTGGACAGAAATGAAAAAACTCCAACCCGAAGACCAGCTGATTCTCAAAACTTGGAACGCGCTTCCTGTCACATACCACACACTGCAGCGTGTGAGTATTGCTGTATTGACCATGTTTGGATCTACGTATGCATGTGAGCAGTCATTCTCACATCTTAAAAACATCAAGTCCAACCTACGATCACGTTTAACGGATGAAAGCCTCAACGCTTGCATGAAGCTTAACCTCACCAAGTACCAACCCGACTACAAAGACATCAGCAAATCCATGCAGCACCAGAAGTCGCATTAATGGTGAGTGTTATAACAACATTATTTAAAAGAATAAATTCAGAGGCTTATTATACTGACATTTAGTTGAATTCACTTTTAAAATATATTATATGGCTCTCACTGAAATAAATTTCCAAATTTTTTGCTTTCATGGCTCTCTTAGTCAAAAAGGTTCCCGACCCCTGCTTTATTATAACGAACGAGATGGGAGAGACTGCACGTACCCTCGCTGACGTCACGCCTGCGGTTAACTGTCGGCAAATGACGTCATGTTATGCTGCAAGGATGACGTCATCGCGCAGATGTTCCCTATCAAGTAGGGCCGGCGCGGGGTGAGTGAAACGCGGGTGACTCACCCCTCACTCACCTCGCGAGCGACTCACCCCTCACTCACCTCGCGGGCGACTCACCACTCACCCTCACCTCGCGGGCGACTCACCCCTCACCCTCACCTCGCGGGTGACTCCTCACCCACCTCGCGGGCGACTCACCACTCACCCTCACCTCGCGGGCGACTCACCCCTCACCCTCACCTCGCGGGTAACTCACCCCTCACCCTCACCTCGCGGGCGACTCACCCCTCACCCTCACCTCGCGGGCGACTCACTCCCCACACACCACGAGGGTGAACTCACCCCTCACCCTCACCTCGCGAGCGACTCACCCCTCACTCACCTCGCGAGCGACTCACCCCTCACCTCGTGGGCGACTCACCCCTCACTCACCTCGCGAGCGACTCACCCCTCACCTCGCGGGCGACTCACCACTCACTCACCTCGCGGGCGACTCACCCCTCACTCCCCACACACCACGAGGGTGAACTCACCCCTCACCCTCACCACGAGGGTGACTCCTCACTCGCTCCTCACACGAGCGGCACGGTGACCACGCTGTGTCTCCTGTAGGCGATGACGGCGATGGACTACCGACTTCTGCTCACGTGGAGTGACGGATTCTGTCTCGATCGTATTCACGACTGAAACATTTCGTTTTTTCACGTTGTTGTTGTGTTGTGTAACAATTGTGCCACGATAACTCTGATGAAAAACAAGAATAGCTGTTACCCTTTTTGGCAGGAGGTATTAAGATGTTCAAACACCAAACAGAAACATCAAGTCAGCATTAACGACACGGTACTTGTGGTGGACATGCAAACAAATATGCTCTGAAAAAATGTGGCGTCGTCTTTGAAACTGATTGGTCTACACCAGAGACGACAGCCTTCTTGTTTGAAGAGACAGCCTTCTTGTTTGCATGTTCACAAGTAGGCGTGGTACTGGTAGGAACCTCCTGGTTACACCAGCCCACGGGGGATTATTGTGTCCGTCCGTCGTGCATCCAAACATGGGAGGGGTGGGGCTGGGTGGGGAGGGGCTGGGTGGGGAGGGTGGGAAGGGGCTGGGTGGGGGGGAAGGGGCTGGTCACCCCGTGGTGCCCTTATAAAACTCAACGTTTAACCTACTCACGCCGGCTTGTGCCCGCCCTCACAGTCGGAGCATATTTGCGGAATACACCACGTGGTGCCGCCGTTAACCCTGGCCATTGACCGAGCAACCCAACGTTCCTACCAGCTCCCTCTGCAGGAATGTGTTTAATGCAGACTTGGTTTCTTGCAAAAGGTTTATATTTGGTGTTTGAACATCTTAACATCTTGATTTAAAGCTTTCGTAACTGTGGGGATTCATATTCTTGGTTCTTTCGGTAAAGTCACGTAGAAGGGAAACAATATTATTGTAAAGTCACGTAGAAGGGAAACAATAAAATAAATATTTTATTGTTTCCCTTCTACGTGACTTTACCGAAAGAACCAAGAATATCTTAACATCTGTTGTATTGTCAGAAAGGATAAAACCTATTTAATTTTTTCTCACATTGTGATTGTTTGCCGCAGCCATTATGAATTCCCTGAGTCACATTATCACCGTTGTCTCGTACCTCTGCAGCTGTGTGCCTAGGCAGTGTCTTGGGTCCTGTCAGACGTGAGTTTGAAGGTTTGGTAATGGGATTTTTATTTATTTTAAAGTTACAGCTAAGCACGCTGCTTGTGTACACTAGGGTTGTAAGCTGCATGCGTTGCAATGTATGGGTAGTAACTTTGACATGATGTAACGATAATCCATAATAGAGGTGTTTTTTGGGTTAAGTCGCGTAAATATAAATGTGTCGTTAAACCCGCCACCACCCGACACAGCCATTTAGTAAGGTTTGTCACGTCAACAAAACATGTCAATGCGTTACGAGTACAGCACACCGGTGTGTTGGTGAGTAAACCCACAACATTTGCAATTGCAGTACGACGTTTCGCCAGTAATTACCACCAGCCTCATCAGGCGACAGCCAGATAAGTGGAGAAATCCTCCTGTTTCGTTCTTAAATATGTGGATAATATTGGTCACGAAAGCCTTCGTGTTAAACGTAACTATAGTGCTATCATGGCACGGATAATTTGGTTGTGTTCCTCATTAGCAAAGGTTCAAACGTGGCAAAGGTCAGAAAGCCCAGAACACAGAGTGCAGGTTTGTGTCTTCAAGTATAAAGCCTGTCACGCTTCTTCCTTGAAGCAACTCGTATCAGTTTAAAGTTGTGCAAAGTCAAATGGGCCCTCAGAATTTGTCGTGACAGCAGTGAGTGCCGAAGGAAATGGGTTGGACTGTACGCATGCTTTGGTGTATGCAGTTTGTGACTATCAAACGCTGTGCTTGAGAACACGGGTTTTTTTGGTCTCCAGCTGGGAACTGTGATTTTAATTCGGGACCTCACCATCGCTCGCTTATCTCTCATACACAGGGCATTGCTTTAGACCCGAAGCCACCTCTCACCCTCCTTTGTGCCGTTTCAAGGAGCCGTGTCACCAGTTTCAAGTGTTATTTTCTTTCACCAGGTTTAGAACTCAAACAAGATACCAGGATGAATCTTAACTTACAAAAGCGACCTATTTGTTTTGGTAATATCCCGTCTCTTCAGTTGAAGTCTACCGTTGCCGTGCGTGCGAGTTTAATTTGGTTTTATTTTTGTCTTCGCAGACCGTGTCGTTTGCCTTCCTTTGGGGGTGGAGGCGACGCAGAGGAACAATATTTTCTTCTGCAGCCCCTGGCCCTCAAGTGACTGGCGCATGAGACTCCTGGCTGTGGTGATGTCACGGGTGAGGTGCTGTGGCCGCCCAATAGGTATTGAGCATGCAGCCAAAGCGGTGGAGCCAGCAGAAAAGGTGACATCATTTAAAATATAACATTTGGTGTTGTTTCAATGTGTGAAAAAAAACGTTCTTAATCTCTCTGCAACCGGCACCAAGTCATGAGACATTTCCTTTTGGGTACTCTGTTAGAAAAACTTGGGGTCCCCTCATCTCCCGCATCTCACTGATGAAGCCCAGTCATCATACGGCTGTGTGCGTAATGTCATAGGTAAAATGCAATACAGTAAAAACCTTGGATTGCGAGTAAATTGGTCTGCGAGCGTTTTGCAAGACGAGCAAACATTTTAAATAAATATTAACTTGATAAACGAGCGAGGTCTTGCAATACGAGTAGTGCACGTGTACGCTTTGTACTGCCGAGCGTCACGTGATCACAACTGATATTACGAGTGCTTTGATATACGAGTGCTTTGGATTACAAACACGTTTCCGGAACGAATTATGCTCGCAATCCAAGGTTTTACTGTATTTTAAAATAATTAGAAGAAAAAAACCCCATAAACCTTTTACAAACAGTCAATGCCGTTGCTACCACCACATCTCACAAACCCACTGTCACGGTCAATGCTGTTGATTCTGTATCTCACCATTCTTCATTCTGCCAGATCCTGCAGCACAGTCAATGCCTGACCCTCCAAGTCTTATTTACAATATTATGCCACCAACTGGGCGTGGGTCTGCCCCTTCATCGCTCACCTCTGGGTGACAACTTCAGTGTCTGTTACAGTAACCTGCCTTCCTCCTCGATCCAGCTCAAGCTGCTCAACGTCACTCGGATTATTACTTGGTGCACTCTGACCAAAGAGTAGAGAGACTTGTGATCATTTCGTAACATTTTCTGGCCATGCTGCAGGATGTCTTCGGCAATTGCTGAATGCTGTCACTCAGCTGCATTATATATGAGTCTGTTTAATAAAAAATGAAAATATTCGTTTATAATGGAGAAATCCGATGAGCTATGAAGCTCTTTTTTTTACAGATGTCCAGTAGGGGCGGGTAAAGACGTTACAACAACAAACAGTACAAAGACACGTGATAGTAGTTCATAGTACAAGAAAGGTAAATAAATAACCCAAATACAAACAAATAAAACTAAACCATCCTCATCCTACCAGGCAAAGCCCACTGAGGTATTCACTTCTTTTTCATATATCTGTGACAGGATTTGTTGACACTGTTTTTGATTTGTACGTAAGCACTGTTTATTGTTTGCCCTGTTTGTAGAAAGTTCTGTTGCGGCCACTGCCGAGGGTCTTCAGCTGTGGTTGTCCTTGTAAAGTGAGCTGCTCTGCTCAGTCGGGCTTCACAGCTAAAATAGTGAGGCCCCAGTCGGATTTCAGTCGGAAAAAAAATTGCACAATGAATGGGGCGTGAGCCTGGCGCTTGTGCAGAATTTTTTTTTCCCAGATGTTGCGACGAGATGAAATGTGCCGCGATCAAAGGTGGTGGCACCCTTGTGCAACTGCACATTAGAAGAGCAGCGAAACTGCTCCTAGTTTTTGTTCGTTATTTTTTGGGGGGAGGAAAAACAAGTTAGGTTTGAATTTTTGCGACGTTTACAATTGGGTGGAAACGGCTACATCGAAACAACAATGCATTGCCCTGATATGGGAATGTGGCTGATGAGACATGACATACACACAGCCTGTTTGATGTATGGCATCTCGTTATTATTTTTGGCATTCAATGTGAGGATATGGTTTTCGGAAATTCATATTTCAACTGTCCACATTGCTGCTGATGTGTGCTCGATTCCTCCTTGCCGGTCGCTCACAATCAACCACTCGTCGCGAGCAGCATTCATTGGAGGGGAAGCATAAATGGCCTTACCACTTTTGTCGTCATGACAAACATGCTTATGACCTTGTAAAATGCATTGTGAATCTCCGCAGGCTCTCACCCGAATTCTTTCCAATTGCATTCGAACGAAAGTTGCGTGCGTGCATGTGCGTGCGTGTGTGTGGAGTGTGCAGGTGACGGAAGTAAAATCCAAAGATAAAAACATTGCGGCTGCAATAGAAGGCAACAATCTGACAATGGAGGAGAAGAAAATTCTGGGAAACCACACAGAGGCCTGTCTGGTGCGTCTCCGTTGTGCTCGCGTGTGATTCTGTTTATGTACAGGAACAGAGTGGAATCACTGTCGGTTTGACAGCTACAGGCTTAGTGCGGCCTGGAAGCGTATTATTAAATAAAGAAAAATATTCATGTAATACAATCACAATTCTTTATAAGGGAAACAAATACCAATGAATAACAATTGAATGATTACCAATCGATTATATAATTACAATACCCCTCTCCGCCTCAAATCACTGCACCTGAATGAATTAAATGATGACGTCACCCTGCTGCTGCTCTATTTAAGACCGGGAGCAAGTGGAAGGCCTCACCATTCTGGCAAATTGCCCGATGATGCTGCATGTAATTACCAGCGAAACGTCGTACTCAAATTTTAAATGATGTTGATTCACTCTTCAACACACCGGTGGGCTAAAGTAGTGAATTATTTGTCCTTTGTAAACGTGACACTTTTTTACTGATTGGCCGTGTCGGGTGGTGGAGGGTTACGACACATTTATAAATAACGCGATCTAACCCAAAAACCTTTATTATGGAATCCCTGTGTATGTGTCTCATCCTGTGTGCATGCGTCTCCTCCGCATGGGGAATGGTAGTGTAGTAGTTTGCGTGCTACACTACGAATCCGGCGACCCGAGTTCGATCCGCGCTCACGGCCAACACCAGTGATGATTATCTGAATTGGTCCTGGGCCTCCCCTCGGTCGACTCAGCCTCAAATGAGGACCTAATGGGCTGTGTGTAAACACCTCCACTGGGGGAGACAAAGGTGGCCGGGCGTGGTGCTAACCACCCACGCCCTCGTGTACCGTTCCGGGCCTTCATAGGTGCTCGCTAACAGCACTTGCCCCAACAGTGTGTTCAGGCTATACGGGGCATCTTTGGCGTAGGTATGTAGGCACTGCTGCACTACAATATCCTAATGTCTTGTTACATATTCTCCTTACACACATTACCACTTCTGATCATTTGGCATCTGGACCTGGCTTGGGCTTCTCCCAGTCCCAGTTGGTTAAGCACAATGCATCGCGTCAACTCGTACGACCAAACCACCGAGGAATTCGCCCCAATATTGCGAGGCGCTAAGCTGGGCTGGGCATGGATATTGCTTGGATGGGTGACCACCGTGCATACAATAGGTGCTACAGGCTGCTGAGGACTGCATATTTTTTTAAAAGTTATTTCTTTACCTTTCCTATACACTCCTTTTCACTCTCATCGTGTTTTCGTATTATTTTTTGTAACGTTCTGACCCACCCCGACTGGACATCTGTGAAAAATAGCTTCTATAGCTCATCAGATTCCTCCAGTATGAATACATCCATTGATTCCGACATTTTTGGCAAAGGGCAGTGCAACAAAGTTCATTGTACTGTGCTACACTCCGCTGCCTCCGCTCCCCAACGTCACCGACCCGCACTGTGCAGCGTGGTGAAGCACGGTGAAACAACTCCACTGAACCACACAGGGGTGGACATGGGCCCTCGTCCAGCAGTGTGTTGACAAAAGGACTGTACGTGTACAACGTGTCACTGTCGGTAGTGGAGTGGAGAAGCAAAGCCGACGCACTTCCTCAATAGTGTTGCTAAGCTGCCCCCCCCCCCACCTCGTTGTCAAGTGTCTGAGAATCCTTCTCGTGCGCAGGCAGTGGGATGATGCCACAGTCTGTGAGAATGGGCCGCCTGGTTTATTCACATCCGGCCAGAACGCTGCAGTCGGGTGGCTTTTAACGCTGGCCTGGAGCAGGTGCTTGGCTTTGCTAATTCAGCACGAAACATGGGAGGGGTGATGACACGGTCGGTGTCGCCTGTTTGTCAGGAGTGGTGCTACAGTTCCATGGTCATGAGGCCCTAGATCAGTGTTGACTCATTTGCAGAGTCAGGGGATGCACTTTCGCCGACAAGTGTGAGGGCCGCCGCACTGCCTGCAAGGGGGGTGTTTTCACATTTGTGTACCTAGGGGTTGTTCGGGGGCGCCTGTGGCACCCCTCACAACCATTTACGGCCTTCGGCCAGGAATGTCACGAAAAAAATTGCACACGAACGACAGATTCGCGCAAGCACCCGATGCTCCGTTTTGAAGCTTTAAAATGAAACATCTTTGAATTGTATTATGTTTTGAATTAGATAATTTTATTTCTTCATTAAAAGCTTATATCATTTTACATCTGGAATAACTAAATTGAAAACGGCATTTCGTGTGAATTTCCTCTCGTCGTTAAGTAGATGGCCTTGCTGGGGGTTTGGTTCAATGCGGACTTTCACCCGCCCCTCTATAGCCCCGCCAAGCGTTGGTTGGCTGCTTGGTCCCGGTCACGTGAGGCACTTCAACCAATCCATGCCGCGTTAGTCACAATGACAATCACAGACCTAGGTGTTTATATATTAGGATTGTCGGGTGGCCGCATGTCATGGGCCGCACTCCAGGGCCGCCAATGGCCCGCAATGGCCTCGTAATGAAGAACGCTGCCCTAGATGTTCGATGATCCCTCGCATATCACCCTAAGCGCCTCCTCCCCACCATCCATTACCCTGTGACGTGGTAGCGCGTTCGCCGCTTGTTGCAGATGTTCACGGTCGGATTCCAATCGGCCTCCCTGGTTATTACTGCCGGTGTTTAACCACCAAAAATACCTGGCGTCTGCTTCACAGTGGGTGTTAAAAGACCCTGTGACAGGATTTGCAAGAGCAGGTCAAGCCTTATGCTGCCGTCACGGTCCAAATTTGCCAAGTTCTAAAAATGGCACCACAAATCACTCAATTGGAATTATACTTAGCATGAACCTTCTAAAAAATAGAGACTCCTTGAGGCTTACCTTGGGTAAACAAGCATAATAATATCACAATAATACAGCCGCCCCTGTTGGGTTGGTGAAAACACAGCCCTGCACACCGACTTGTGACCCAGCAGTTGCAGGCATAATAGGGTCCTACACGTTTCCTTGGAACTCTTAAGGAAGCGTTCCTCTACACTTTGTTCCTAGACGAACAGAAATTGAATGCTGCCACTGTGGTGTAATAGCAGCACGCTGCACTTGCAATCCAGATGTCGTCAGTTCGAACTCCTGGCGCGGCATTTGAAACCATTGTGCAAGTTTTTTTTGTGTTAAATGCTCTGCGTGTGTCCACCCAGCAGTGTGAATGGGTAGACGATAGTTTGTCGATCAACACGTCTGATATGGCGGGGGTATAGTGTGGGCACTTCCACCTCTTCTAAGATGTCTGGCCAGCGTGGAAGAGTAGGCCAAACACTCTGTGAAGGGGTTCTCTCGAGCTATCGATGAGCACAGTTGGCTACGTACGGTGCGAAAGAAGTTCGACATACGTAGTGGAAGTCCTGGCAGCATTGGTGTGATAGTGCAATTGCAGGGGCTGCATCTTTATCCATAAACGTGCGTTATGAGCAGAGGTGCCGGGAGTATTGTGCATGGAAATTTCTCCTTGAGAAGTGAGCAGAGCGCTGAGTAGATTTGAGTAGTTTTAACACGGGTGACACCCACAGCCAGCAGTCACTCGACCCTGCTAAGGGGCCCGTCCATAAATGACGTCACGCATCTGGGAGGGGGGGGGGCGTTTAAGAAATGTGACGTGACATCAAATTGCGCAACTTTAAATAAATATAGACAACACGTTCTACTTAATTAAATAGACTTATTAATAAATGTTTTCTCCTACAACATCAGAGTGCAGCGCCACATTAAATACGCACTACAATGACAATAGTTTAAAGCGATTTGAAGCATGTTTTATATCTTTTGGGGGGGGGGGGGGCAGAGCTTTGTGACGTCATATTTGAGGGGGGGGGTCTGACTTTTTGTGACGCCGTGTTACGAAGGGGGGGGGGAAATCGTCCAAAATCGCGTGACGTCATTTATGGACGGCCCCTAACCCACAAGAGCTATGTGTCCTGTGGCGCTCTGTCAGTAAGGTCTTGCCAGTAAGGCTTCGCCATCCATCTGGCCTCAAGATTGTGATGTTGGGACGACGTAAGGGGGTGATGTTGCTGTATGTGATCGCAGTTGAGTAATTGTTCAGGTAATTTTTCAGCATTGGGGATGTCTTGGCCGACACCTGTTTTATCGTGTGCCTTTTGTTTTGTTGATTTAAGAGGAAACCAGAGAGCCCGGAGGAAACCTGTGTGGAACAGAGGGAGAACATACAAACTCCTCACACTCTTCAGAGCGGGGAGAATTAACAGTGGGGGGAACATCTCCACATACGCACAAACTTCAGAACAGGGGGAGAGCGTACAAACTCCACACAAAGGCACCCGAAATTGGAATCGAAGTCAGCCCTTTTCTTGCTGTGATGTACAAGTGTCACCACTGCACCACCCCCATCCGCCATCGATGAATCGATGAACTGTGATATACCATCGCAGCGCAGTAACTGACACGCGCGGGACCTTGTGGAATGGAAACGCTGCGTGCGTGCGTGCAGGCAGGCAAGGACACGTACGTGGACCCCGTGTCCGGCTACTCCGTGTTCACGAGCCGCTCTCACTTGCTGCGTGGGAAGTGCTGCGGCTTGGCCTGCAGGCACGTACGTACGCACGCACGCAGCGGCCAGTCGCACAGCACACGCACACGGTCCCATGGCGCGGGTGGAGAACCGTCTGGAACGCTCTTCCAATATGAGGAAGGCACTGGAGCTATGCACTTTCAAATCTAGATTGAAAATGCATGTCTTTAAAACTGATCCCTCTATTTAAGACCGCGAAACAGGAGGATTTTTCCACATTTCTGGCTGTCGCCTGGTGAGGCTGGTTGTAATTACCGGTGAAACGTCACAGTACTCGAATTGTAGATGTTGTGGCTATACTCCAACACACCGGTGTGCGGAACTAGTAACTAATTGGCATGTTTTGTTTACGTGACAAACCTTTACTAATTGGCTGTGTCAGGTGGTGGCGGGTTCAAGGACACGTTTATATTTACACGATCTAACCCAAAAAAACCTCTTAATGGCTCTTTAAAACTGCTTGTTGTGTTTAGTTTGTTGTCCTTCCCCCGCACCTCCGATGAGCACAGTTGGCTACAAACGGTGCGTGAATGACGTTCAACATGCGTCTCCTCTCCGAGGGCCAGAGGCGACTCTCACATACCCCCGGTTGGGCACAGAATCAGAATCTTTATTTATTCATGGGAAAAAAAATCCGATGAGCTATGAAGCTCTTTTTCACACTGTCCTGTATTCGCGCACACCATTGATTTATCCAATGATCACGACAGCAGTAGGAACGCGCGCGAAAAGTAACGCACGTGGCGACCGAGTTGCTGTCTCATCACCATTCTATTCGAGCAGTGGTTCTTCACCATTACTGCAGTCTTCTACTTCTTTGGTTCTCGATGGTTACAACTTTTGTAATGTTAATAAATGCATGGGGCTTGATGAAACAAAGTAGTTGTACTTACGTGGCCATGCTTTATTTGTGTTTTCGATGATTTACCTTCTAAACAAATCTGGCCGTGTCTCGCACCTCCAGGGGGTGCGCGCACCCCAGTTGACGTTCTACTGTATGCACTGGCGGAGCCAGTGGGGGGGGGGTGGCACGTGCCCCCGCCCCCCCAATGATCCGATCGAAATTAGGGATTTCGATCTGATCCTTGGGGTTTATTAGTAATAAATCGGCATTTTGGAACCCCCCACTGCCACTGTGTAACATATGATTACGTGCCAGGGACGCTATGAGATGATAGGACAATAGACTGAGTCCATAAATGGCCTGATGCAGCATCTGTCTCCCTCGTCTCTCCCATTTCTCCACTCCTTTTCCCTCCGTTCCCTCTTATTCCCTCTTATTTCCCGAGCCGATGTATGCTGGTGTTTGAGTACCAACCGTGTCTAAGTGTACGTGTATGATGTACGCGGACACAGGGATGTGGTTACCCTCACGTTGACACTGGCACACGGCCGCACACGCTGAAGCGGCGTCTCCCCTGCCGTCCCAGTGCCCCTTTGAGCAGGTGAATGTCAAGGACCGGCACAAGAAGAGCACCTACAACGGCTACTTCTACACATGACGACTGGAAGATTGCGGATTGCAGTCATCTTCACCAGGGCTACTGGCAGGTGGATGGTCTGATGTGTGGCGGCTGCTCTGTGGTGCTGCGGTGTCCAGGGGCACACGGTGATAGAAGTGTCCACAGGGGTGATGTCGAAGTTGTCGTGGCCTAATTAGGCGCATGTAGGATGTACAGTGAGGGAAAAAAGTATTTGATCCCCTGCTGATTTTGTACGTTTGCCCACTGACAAAGAAATGATCAGTCTATAATTTTAATGGTAGGTTTACTTGAACAGTGAGAGACAGAATAACAATAAAAAAATCCAGAAAAACGCATGTCAAAAATGTTATAAATTGATTTGCATTTTAATGAGGGAAATAAGTATTTGACCCCTCTGCAAAACATAACTTAGTAATTGGTGGCAAAACCCTTGTTGGCAATCACAGAGGTCAGACGTTTCTTGTAGTTGGCCACCAGGTTTGCACACGTCTCAGGAGGGATTTTGTCCCACTCCTCTTTGCAGATCTTCTCCCAAGTCATTAAGGTTTCGAGGCTGACGTTTGGCAACTCGAACCTTCAGCTCCCTCCACAGATTTTCTATGGGATTAAGGTCTGGAGACTGGCTAGGCCACTCCAGGACCTTAATGTGCTTCTTCTTGAGCCACTCCTTTGTTGCCTTGGCCGTGTGTTTTGGGTCATTGTCATGCTGGAATACCCATGCACGATCCATTTTCAATGCCCTGGCTGAGGGAATGATGTTCTCACCCAAGATTTGATGGTACATGGCCCCGTCCATCATCCCTTTGATGCGGTGAAGTTGTCCTGTCCCCTTAGCAGAAACCCCCCCCCAAAGCATAATGTTTCCACCTCCATTTTGGTCTCATCTGACCACAACACTTTCACCCAGTTGTCCTCTGAATCATTAAGATATTCATTGGTAAACTTCAGACGGGCATATATATGTGCTTTCTTGAGCAGGGGGACCTTGCGGGCGCTGCAGGATTTCAGTCCTTCACGGCGTAGTGTTACCAATTGTTTTCTTGGTGACTATGGTCCCAGCTGCCTTGAGATCATTGACAAGATCCTCCCGTGTGGTTCTGGTCTGATTCCTCACCGTTCTCATGATCATTGCAACTCCACGAGGTGAGATCTTGCATGGAGCCCCAGGCCGAGGGAGATTGACAGTTCTTTTGTGTTTCTTCCATTTGCGAATAATCGCACCAACTGTTGTCACCTTCTCACCAAGCTGCTTTGCAATGGTCGTGTAGCCCATTCCAGCCTTGTGTAGGTCTACAATCTTGTCCCTGACATCCTTGGAGAGCTCTTTGGTCTTGGCCATGGTGGAGAGTTTGGAATCTGATTGATTGATTGCTTCTGTGGACAGGTGCCTTTTATACAGGTAACAGGCTGAGATTAGGAGCACTCCCTTTAAGAGTGTGCTCCTAATCTTAGCTCCTTACCTGTATAAAAGACACCTGGGAGCCAGAAATCTTTCTGATTGAGAGGGGGTCAAATACTTATTTCCCTCATTAAAATGCAAATCAATTTATAACATTTTTGACATGCGTTTTTCTGGATTTTGTTGTTGTTATTCTGTCTCTCACTGTTAAAATAAACCTACCATTAAAATTATAGACTGATCATTTCTTTGTCAGTGGGCAAACGTACAAAATCAGCAGGGGATCAAATACTTTTTTCCCCTCACTGTACCATCTGGTATTGCGTAAGTTGTCCTAAGGGAGTGACTCAGGTTCAAGATGGTTTTGTTTAACCAGGGTGAGAACTCGAGGCCTGGAGCGACTTTCATTTTGCAAGAGTCAGCTGGGTGGCCAAAGTGGCAAAAGCAGAAAAAATTAAAGAGCAGAGTACAACAGTGAAACCAATCGATGTCATGGCGAACTCAAGCAAATAGAAGTCGGCGAAGATTAAGCAAATATGAATTAGAGTAAATAACTACGGGCAAGATAACTGCGTAACAGAAGCGATTGAGAGCGGTGCGTATGAAAGCTTGCGTTGGTGATGTCTCTCCTCTGGCTGCTGGTGGGAGGTCCACACACAGTGGTGAGGAGTGCGAGTAGTGTGATTCCCTACCTCGTGGAAAGGGTGCAATGTAGATCCTATATAGAACAGAATTATTACGACGGTGTGAGCCTATTATTATAAAATCTAAAAATGTGTGTATTGAGTACGTACGTGTACTGCTTTGGTGATTAAACATTGCTAAACTATTCGTGCGTTTTTGTGATTTAGATAATCCCGGAAAAATGTCAAAACGGCTCTGATGGAAACCAACGTGGTTTGTGTGATGCTGTGTGGCCCTTCATCTCAAGTACCATGTCGAGGTGGGGTTTGGACCTCGCCTGCTGTCCAGTAGTGCACTCAACAACGCTGATGAGGAATGTCCTGCCAGTGGGGCCGCGCCTTGCCCTCTACCGGTGGGTCCTTCACTAATTTTCAGAGGCCACTTTCACCGAAGGAGACATCAGCAGTTCATAGTTCATTTATTTGGTATAGCCCTGTGAGCCATTCGGCTCTTGAATCGGGTGCAACCGCAACAAACAAAAACATGAACAAGAAAACATCTTAAAGTGATTATGTGACTGTGCAAACAGAAAATCCAGGAAAAAAACATCAAAATATTCCTGAAATAGCACCGTACACCAACGCTGTGTGCAAAAATCCCAGTGGGATGCAAGTCTAACAACAACAACCACAAGACAACTAAGATTAAGGCCATCAGTCTAACTCCGTACTACAATAAATAAAAACATGGCCAAAACCAAAACACGTTTTCGCCACATTTGAAACCATTGGGGGTTTGACAGCAGCGCGATGATGATGCTGGGGGGTGTTTTCGCCCTTTGTGTATTGTCGGAGGGCCGCACGGCAGGGGCAGGACGAAAGGCTACCAGGGGCCGCCAGTGGCCCGCGGGCCTTGCAGTGAAGAACACCGCCCTGCAAGCACAAACCTTCCCATAATGCATTGTGCCGGCAACATTTTAATAATTTTACTTTTAACATAAATGCGTTTATTCACTCATCCTTTTGTTTATATGAAGGTACTTCCATTATAGAGGTTTTTTTTTTGGTTAGATCGCGTAAATATATAAATGTGTCGTTAAACCCACCACCACCCGACACAGCCAACGAGTAAGGGTTGTCACGTAAACAGAACGTGGCCAATTCGTCACTAGTACAGCAACACCGGTTGTTGGAGAGCCAAGCCACAACATTTACAATCTGAGTACGACGTTTTGCTGTCGCCTGGTGGAGCTAGTTGTAATTACTGACGAAACATGATACTCCGATTTTAAATGTGGCTTGGCTCTCCAACACACCGGTGTGCTGTACTAGTGACGAATTGGCATGTCCTCTTCTTTGGTTCTTTCGGTAAAGTCACGTAGAATGAGAATAAAATAATAAATTGATAAAATAAAATAACACAATAATATTCTCACGACGTTTCGGCCACAACACAAGCGGCCTTCATCAGGTGAAGGGACGAGACTGTCTGGTAGGACAGCGCTGGAGTGAAAGAGCCACGTTCAGATCACGGCCTTTAAGCTGTGTGAGAGGAACAAAGCGCCTTGACAAAGGAATTAGCATATAATTTAGCATTGAAATGGCTGAATGATTAGCTTGTGACTGGTCACAAATAGCTATGTTAAAAGTTAAAGCATACACATCCGCAGAGGCACCCCTTGATAAAGGAATTAGCATAGCATTTAGCATTGAAATAGCTAAGTTAAAGCATACACATCCGCAGAGGCACCCCTTGACAAAGGAATTAGCATAGAATTTAGCATTGAAATAGCTGAGTGATTAGCTTGTAACTGGTCACAGAAATAGCTACGTTAAAGTCAGAGCATACACATTCACCGAGGCACTTAGTACAAATCAAACAGGAGAATTTAGCATTGAAATAACTAGGCGAATTTAGCATTGAAATAACTGAGTGATTAGCTAGTAACTGGTCACAGAAATGACTATGTTGAAGTCAAGGCCTACACATCTGAGCTATTCACAGTACTATATAGTGAACCAATAAAAAACTAAAATATAAATTACCTTAATGTTATCAATAAACTCTATATTCTCCAATCAGCTAAGCTACCAACAATAAGTCGTTATATATCACAATGCTATATGGCGAAAAAATGGGTGGATTCTTACCCTCAACTTTAGCACCACGGATAGCTACGGGCCCCGTTCAGACGGACGAGTTCATCCATGGTCGGAACCGAGGAGGGGGAGAGAGACAGCTGCGAGGCGCTATTATACTCCATGTTGTAAACCATACCATTAACCGTGGTGTGAGAGGTATTAAGAGTCAATGCTGGCGAAAGAGCTGCGGTCTGAAGGTCATCGTAAAAATACAATTAATTAAGAACAGAAATGGTTTTAAACATCTTTCCAGTGGTTACTAAGCCAGAATCCATCTTCTCGGTTGAAATTGTCTCTGTGCTTGTATATGTGAATGGCCTCATGAACGAATCTCTCATGGTAGCCGGTTGGTTTGCAAAGAACCTCCGTCTTGGAGAAGTCAATGTCATGTGAGCCCACTGAATTATAACAGTGATCTGCCACGGCAGAGGAGTTCGTCCTACCGTGTTTCAAGTCTGCTTTATGTTCGCGGATGCGGTCCGAGATATGTCGTTTGGTTTCTCCAATGTAGCTACTCCCACAGAGGCACTTTAGTTTGTAAACGCCCGGGTACTGTATGTCTGGAACAGCATCTTTTACAGATGGAACTAAATCACGGATTTTATGTACTGTGTTGAATCGGACCTGGATCTTGTTTATTCAGGATTTTGGAGATCTTTTTAGTGACCCCTGCAATGTAGGGTAAGGTGATGGTTTTGAGTGGCTCCACAAGAGAATCCTTCTTCATGACTGGAGTGATGGCTTTGCGGATTGTGTAGTCGGAGTAACCATTAGCCCTGAGAGCCTGGTGTACGTGCTTGAGTTCACTGGTAATGTGTTCCTGGTCGGAAATGCATTGGGCTCTATGGTATAGAGTCTTGATGAGGGAGTTCTTCTGGGATGGATGGTGGTGGGAATCCGGTTTCAAGTAAGCATCTGTATGGGTAGCTTTCCTGTAGACAGAGTGGCTCATTGAACCATCATGTCTCCTTTTAATTAAGACATCCAAAAAGGGTAGTTTGCCATCTTTTTCGACCTCCATGGTAAATCTGATGGCTGGGTGTATGGAATTGATGTGGTCGCGGAATTGGTCTAGAGCAGGCTGGCCATGTGGCCAGATGACAAAGGTGTCATCAACGTACCTCTTCCATAAGTTCGGGCGTAGAGTGGCAGTCTGGATGGCGTCAGTTTCAAATTTTTCCATGAATACATTGGCTACAACCGGAGATAGGGGGGAGCCCATTGGGGTGCCCTCAGTTTGTTTGTAGGAAGTTCCATTCCAGGTGAAGTATGTGTTGGTTAAGCAATGTCTCACCAGGGGGGGTACATCAGTATGCAGTCCTTGATGAACCAGGTCTTCAATGATAGCGATGGTGTCAGGTACCGGGACTTTGGTGAACAAGGACACCACATCAAAACTGACAAGCAGGTCGTCTGGGGACAGGGAAATGCCTTTGATTGTCGATACCAGGTGAGTAGAATTTAGTACCGCAGAGGTGGTTTTTCCGGTGAAAGGTCGCAGTATATCAGCAAGAAAACGTGCCAGTTTGTAGGTGGGGGAGTTGATAGTAGAGACGATGGGACAAAGGGGTGTATCTTCTTTGTGCATGTCCTGTTTACGTGACAACCCTTACTAGTTTGCTGTCGTGTGTGGCGGGTTTTAACGACACATTTACGCGATCTAACAAAAAAAACTTATGGATGATATTGGTCGCGAAAGCCTACGTGTTAAAATGAAAGTACTTAATAGATACTATTAGATAACTTCATATACCTATTTAACAAATATAAAAACCTTTTACATCAAGCCCCGTGGTATTACCATGTGCTCTGAAGGGCCATTCCTCGAAATGTCACCGATTATATTTATTTGGTCGATGGACGAGACGAGTGACAAGAATGGCAGCCCAAGGTAGAGAAGACGCACGGAGCAGGCGACCTTCGTGGAGATGGAGCGGTGAGGTCAGCCGCTTAGAGGGATTGTTGCCATCACGGGGGACCGTGGTGCATGGTGACGACTGTGGGGTGGCCCTCACCCAGAGGTATTGTGATCCGAGGACAACGCAAACCATCCGTGTGGGTGCGCGCTTGAACGACAGAGCATCTACTCCGCCTCTTGAGTGAAGAGTCTTTGAGAGCGGAATGGGAGTTCAAAAGAAGTCAGCTTGTTGTGAAAGAGCCCAACGAAGAAGGTCGCTGGGTTTAATCTTCCACGAAGCTGCTCACGGTCCACCCTAAACCGCATCCACTTAACAAACCACGGCAGTAGATGCGGATGCCCTGATGCACAAATGCAAATACGGCTGTGGTCATCCTGAACACACCGTAGTACAACGTGTAACGACGCAATGGCCCGATCCACAAAAATACATCACTGCGATACTCCACTCAGCTGGCTCCTGACGCGGTTGTCTGCTTGCTTGACCACCACCTGAATGTGAAATTGTAGTTGTTGCCCTGCATCGAACATCAGCAGCCATACGACAAGGAGAAGTGAGAGTCTCCAACAACCCTCCACCCCTCACCCCCCAACCCCTCACCCCCCAACCCCTCACCCCCTCACCCCACCCCCCCCAACCCCTCACCCCCCCAACCACTCACCCCCCCCAACCCCTCACCTCCCCAACCCCCATCCCTCCCCCCGCAACTCCGACAACCGGAGACGTCACGTGACGCTACTGTATTTAAAGGGCGATACGACGCCACGTGTGAAGCCACGTGCCGGCGTCCAACAGCTGCACTCGCATACCGTGCGTTACGATAGTGAAGTGCACTTACTACACACAACACGCCTCCCACACACAACACTCCCCCTACACACTACACTGCTCCTACACGCGACACTGCTCCTACACACGACACTGCTCCTACACGTGACACTGCTCCTACACACTACACTCCTACACACTACACTGCTCCTACACACTACAACGCTCCGCTCCTACACACGACACTCCTACACTCCTGCACCACGCCCGTCACGGTGTTTGTGCGTTCACGTTGGGCACTCCACCAGCAGTGGATATCTCGAACAAGTCAGCCCACTTGTGCTTTGTGGGTTGGAACTCGTGCCTGCTGAAGTTCCCCACTCCCAGGAGGAAGGCCGCGTGACCGATGGGATGTTGTAGGACTTTTTTAATGTGGAGGGGTACAGATATGCGAGGGACTCGTACTGTGTGTTTTTGTGTTACCGTCATGTAATCTACAATGACGCGAATTTGTATTGTGATGCACGCTATATGAATCTGGTACATTGGCAGCTTACACTGTGCTTGATGATAATGGTGGTTTTCATTGTGGTTTCGAAAGTTTAGCATTCTGATAATGATCATTAATGTTGCAAGGGTTATGAATTGCAATGTCAGAATCGTATAGACTGCGGAAAATCCGACCAAGTGCTGTGAAGCTCTTTATCACGGATGCCCAGCAATGTGCCTCAATCATTGGGGCACTAAGGACCGTGAGAATTACATCCGTGCTCTCGGGTGTTGAACGAGTGGGGTGGGATGTGGCACTGTTCAAAAGAGACTGAGATGAGAACCTCTCGCCCTTCCGGTCCCACCAGTCTTCACGCTGCTGTACTCGCTGCACACATTCCACAGTGGAATATTTTTTTGTGGTGTTTGTCAACCATCTGTGACCCCCCCCACCCACCCACCCTACGCACGGCACGAGTGAACGGTGACCGCCATGGCATGAACTAGCACGTGGTGGTTGGTGGTGGTGATAATGACGATGCTCGACGGCTTTGTGTGTGTGTGTAAGCCATCGCGTGAGCAGGCCAAGACCATCGGGCTCACTTAACCCACAAGCGGCCACCACCACCGCCCGTGGTTGTCATCACAGAATTGTAACAACGAAAGAGATATCGGCAGGGCCTTCCCGTCCGTGACCTTCCCGTCCGTGACCTTCTGACACCGGTACTGTACGGCAATGAGCCTTGCTCGTGGCAGGAGGGGACTTGTGTCCACTCGCCGTGTAGCCTGCACTGTAATTGTTGCCGATATTGTTTGTTCATCGATTTGAGCACGTGCTCCAGTGTCGACAAAAGTCCCCCCTAAAGAGATTCATTTGAACGAGCCGGCTGAGCCAATCTGCCGTCTCCATCACAATTGAAAGGACATTTTACTAAGGGACTGCCCGGTAAACGTGGAACGTTCGGCCATCGTTGGTCCAACAGTTCAAACCACGTGCCAAATGTTTTCCCAACCTTCATCGTTTACTAGTGGGTGTACATTTCGGCCACATTTACAGTTTTATAAGGTAGAATCTATTTGCTACTGTGCGGCGGCAGCAGCACTGACATTTAACATCTTCGTGATTACAAAGCGATCGCAAAATCGGGCAAGATGAGATACAAAAAAAATTACGTATGCAACAAATATGCAAAAACATTTCCGATGTACACGTCATCCAAATGTCTCACAAATAGATTATAAAAAATATTTATGGGTTTTACCCTTTGTGGCAAAAAAACAGGAGGTGTTAAGATGTTGACGACAAATACATTCCTTTTGCAAAGAATCAAGTCTGTATTAACCACACGTGTTTTATTTGTATGAACTCCCTCGCCTCGTATGCAAGAAGGTCGTGGGTTAGATGCCGACCCTGACGCCTGTTGTATATTTGGAACGTGCGCGTCTCTCCCCCTGGTCGTGTGGAGTTTTCTCCCGGCTCCTTTGGTTTTCCCCCTAAACGTTTAGAATCAACACACGTTTCGAGTATTTGGCTGCTATACATTTCCACATGATAAGCCACTTCGTTGAGCTATGATTTGTGGCCAGGGTGCTTCTGAAAAAGAGCCATATAGTTCAGTGGGCCTTACCTGGTAAAAAAAAAAAGTTTGGATTCTCTGTAAAGCTCTGCTTCGCTCTCCATGCCTGGAGGAAGGGAAGGCGTCTTTCCTCCCTCCTTGCCTCTTGGTGGGCCTGTATATGTATTTCTGCTGACTTTGTACCTCGTATTTGTTCACTCTATGCTGGTAGGTGCAATCCAGAGGTTGAACACGAAATTTAACATTCTTCTGAAATTCGTGGTCCGCCAGGAAGTGTCTAACTGTGTTGTTGGCCTGACTGGTTGTGCTTCACATAATGTTTCTTAGGTTTGTTGAATTCTCGTCTCTCATCTTCTTGTATTTACCTCTATGATTTGTTATTGACACCTGATGAAGATCGCTTGTGTTGTGATCGAAACGTCGTAATTGTTTTGTTTTAATATAATTTTATTGTATTTCTACATACGAGACTTTACCGAAAAAAACAATGAGTAAGCCATCAGCTGTTTGCTGCATGGCCTTTTGAAGAATGCTGACTAATGGCTCGCCATTAGCCTCCTGTCAATGCATCGTCGATCTATGGATTTATATCTTCCATTACGCGTCGAACTCAAGGTTTTCAACAGTAGACTTTGAAATCGGTGAAAGTTGTGCGGAGTTCTTACACTCGAGCTAATTGAGGAGGCGAGAGAGAAGGAATGCTATAAAGTATATCTTTTTTCCTTTAGGCGCTTTTGTCAATTGTTGCTGGATGAAGGCAGTTTGACCATACTTCACCAGGCTGGCCAGTGCAGGTTGAATACGTTCAGTCGATGAATTCGAAGCGCATCCTCAGTGGTGTAGTGGTTGGCGCTCACTGCGTTACGAACCCGGCAACCCGAGTTCGATTGCCACTTACTGCCCAACACCGGTGACGAATGTCTGCACCGGTCCCAGGGCCTTAGGTCATCTCGACCTTAAATGAGTACCTGGTGCGGCTAGTAAGCATCAGCACTAGGGAGGCAAAGACGACCGGGCGTGGTGTTAATCACCCACCCACCCGCCTCGGGCGCCGTGCCAGCCTTCATTGGTACCCGCGCACAGCACTGGGCCCCCAACAGTCTATTCAAGAGGCCCTACGGGGTGGAGGGGAGGCAGCGATGAACGTTGTTGCCTGTTGAACTTCTTTCGCACCGTACGTAGCCCAGCGTTCTGATCTGTGCGTCGTTGCGGTACTTTTGTAAGATCGGTGAGAAGGAGGCAATGCCGTCTCCGCTGGGGGTCGGGGGTCCGGCGCACGAAGCCGACCAGGTGACGCTGCCCTACGCGTCCGTGCAGCGCCACCTCGTGGGCGAGCTGGTGCCGTGCCTGCGCCTGACGGCGGGCGCACGAGACCTGCTGCGCGTGGCGTGCACGCGCTTCGTGCGCCACGTGTCCAGCGAGGCGAACACGGCGTGCGCCCATGCGCAGCGCAAGACCATCTCCCCTGAGCACGTCATCCAGGGTACACACGGCTCCAGCACTGGAGCACTGTGTGTGTGTGTGTAACACTGGGGCACTGTGTGTGTGTTTAACACTGGGGCACTGTGTGTGTGTGTAACACTGGAGCACTGTGTGTGTGTAACACTGGAGCACTGTGTGTGTGAGTGTAACACTGGAGCACTGTGTGTGTGTGTAACACTGGGGCACTGTGTGTGTGTGTAACACTGGAGCACTGTGTGTGTGTGTAACACTGGAGCACTGTGTGTGTGTGTAACACTGGGGCACTCTGTGTGTGTGTAACACTGGGGCACTCTGTGTGTGTGTAACACTGGGGCCCTATGTGTGTGTGAGTGTAACACTGGAGCACTGTGTGTGTGTGTAACACTGGAGCACTGTGTGTGTGTGTGAGTGTAACACTGGGGCACTGTGTGTGTGTAACACTGGGGCACTGTGTGTGTAACACTGGAGCACTGTGTGTGTGTGTAACACTGGAGCACTGTGTGTGTGAGTGTAACACTGGGGCACTGTGTGTGTGTGTAACACTGGAGCACTGTGTGTGTGTGTGTAACACTGGAGCACTGTGTGTGTAACACTGGAGCACTGTGTGTGTGTGAGTGTAACACTGGGGCACTCTGTGTGTGTGTGAGTGTAACACTGGGGCACTGTGTGTGTGTGTGAGTGTAACACTGGAGCACTGTGTGTGTAACACTGGAGCACTGTGTGTGTAACACTGGAGCACTGTGTGTGTGTAACACTGGATCACTGTGTGTGTGTAACACTGGAGCACACTCTGTGTGAGTGTAACACTGGGGCACTGTGTGTGTGTAACACTGGAGCACACTCTGTGTGAGTGTAACACTGGAGCACACTGTGTGTGTGTAACACAGGGGCACTGTGTGTGTGTGTAACACTGGGGCACTGTGTGTGTAACACTGGAGCACTGGGTGTGTGTGTGTAACACTGGAGCACTGTGTGTGTGTGTGTAACACTGGAGCACTGTGTGTGTGTAACACTGGAGCACTGTGTGTGTGAGTGTAACACTGGGGCACTGTGTGTGAGTGTAACACTGGAGCACTGTGTGTGTGTAACACTGGGGCACTGTGTGTGTGTGTGCAACACTGGAGCACTGTGTGTGTGTGTGTGTAACACTGGAGCACTGTGTGTGTGTGTGTAACACTGGAGCACTGTGTGTGTGTGTAACACTGGAGCACTGTGTGTGTGTGTAACACTGGAGCACTGTGTGTGTGTGAGTATAACACTGGGGCACTCTGTGTGTGTGTGTGAGTGTAACACTGGGGCACTCTGTGTGTGTGTGAGTGTAACACTGGAGCACTGTGTGTGTGTGTAACACTGGGGCACTGTGTGTGTAACACTGGAGCACTGTGTGTGTGTGTGTAACACTGGAGCACTGTGTGTGTGTGTGTAACACTGGAGCACTGTGTGTGTGCAACACTGGAGCACTGTGTGTGTGAGTGTAACACTGGGGCACTCTGTGTGTGTGTAACACTGGAGCACTGTGTGTGTAACACTGGGGCACTGTGTGTTTGTAACACTGGAGCACTGTGTGTGTGTGTAACACTGGAGCACTGTGTGTGTGTGTGTGTAACACTGGAGCACTCTGTGTGTGTGTGTAACACTGGGGCACTGTGTGTGTGTGTAACACTGGAGCACTGTGTGTGTGTAACACTGGAGCACTGTGTGTGTGTGTAACACTGGAGCACTGTGTGTGTGTAACACTGGAGCACTGTGTGTGTGTAACACTGGAGCACTGTGTGTGTGTAACACTGGAGCACTGTGTGTGTGTAACACTGGAGCACTGTGTGTATGTGTGTAACACTGGATCACTGTGTGTGTGTGTAACACTGGATCACTGTGTGTGTGTGTAACACTGGAGCACTGTTTGTGTGAGTGTAACACTGGGGCACTGTGTTTGTGTGTGTAACACTGGAGCACTGTGTGTGTGTAACACTGGATCACTGTGTGTGTGTGTGTGTAACACTGGATCACTGTGTGTGTGTGTAACACTGGAGCACTGTATGTGTGAGTGTAACACTGGGGCACTGTGTGTGTGTAACACTGGAGCACTGTGTGTGTGTGTGTGTAACACTGGAGCACTGTGTGTGTAACACTGGAGCACTGTGTGTGTAAGACTGGAGCACTGTGTGTGTGTGTGAGTATAACACTGGGGCACTCTGTGTGTGTGTGAGTGTAACACTGGGGCACTCTGTGTGTGTGTGTAACACTGGAGTACTGTGTGTGTAACACTGGATCACTGTGTGTGTGTAACACTGGATCACTGTGTGTGTAACACTGGAGCACTCTGTGTGTGAGTGTAACACTGGGGCACTGTGTGTGTGTAACACTGGGGCACTGTGTGTGAGTGTAACACTAGAGCACTGTGTGTGTGTAACACTGGGGCACTGTGTGTGTGTAACACTGGAACACTGTGTGTGTGTGTAACACTGGAGCACTGTGTGTGTAACACTGGAGCACTGTGTGTGTGTGAGTATAACACTGGAGCACTGTGTGTATGTGAGTATAACACTGGGGCACTCTGTGTGTGTGTGTGAGTGTAACACTGGGGCACTCTGTGTGTGTAACACTGGGGCACTGTGTGTGTGTGTAACACTGGAGCACTCTGTGTGTGTGTGTAACACTGGAGCACTGTGTGTGTGTAACACTGGAGCACTGTGTGTGTGTGTAACACTGGGGCACTGTGTGTGTGTGTAACACTGGAGCACTGTGTGTGTTTGTAACACTGGAGCACTGTGTGTGTGTGTGTAACACTGGAGCACTGTGTGTGTGTAACACTGGAGCACTGTGTGTGTGTAACACTGGATCACTGTGTGTGTGTGTGACAATGGATCACTGTGTGTGTGTGTGACAATGGATCACTGTGTGTGTGTGTAACACTGGAGCACTGTTTGTGTGTGTGTAACACTGGAGCACTGTGTGTGTAACACTGAAGCACTGTGTGTGTGTAACACTGGAGCACTGTGTTGATGTAACACTGGGGAACTGTGTGTGTAACCCTGGAGCACTGTGTGTGTGTAACACTGGAGCACTGTGTGTGTGTAACACTGGAGCACTGTGTGTATGTAACACTGGGGCACTGTGTGTGTGTGTAACACTGGAGCACTGTGTGTGTAACACTGGAGCACTGTGTGTGTGTGTGTAACACTGGAGCACTGTGTGTGTGTAACACTGGAGCACTGTGTGTGTGTGTAACACTGGAGCACTGTGTGTGTGTGTAACACTGGAGCACTGTGTGTGTGTGTGTAACACTGGAGCACTGTGTGTGTGTGTGTAACACTGGAGCACTGTGTGTGTGTGTAACACTGGGGCACTGTGTGTGTGTAACACTGGGGCACTGTGTGTGTGTAACACTGGGGCACTGTGTGTGTGTGTAACACTGGAGCACTGTGAGTGTAACACTGGAGCACTGTGATTGTAACACTGGAGCACTGTGATTGTAACACTGGAGCACTGTGTGTGTGTGTGTAACACTGGAGCACTGTGTGTGTGTGTAACACTGGAGCACTGTGTGTGTGTGTGTAACACTGGAGCACTGTGTGTGTGTAACACTGGAGCACTGTGTGTGTGTGTGTAACACTGGAGCACTGTGTGTATGTGTGTAACACTGGAGCACTGTGTGTGTGTGTGTAACACTAGAGCACTGTGTGTGTGTGTGTAACACTGGAGCACTGTGTGTGTGTGTGTGTAACACGGACGGGCAACTCTGTCGTGGACAGCGCTGTGGGGGGAGATCCAATTTTGATTGGCTCCTCCCCTCATGGCATATGTGTCCACCACAGGGGCTAAACGGGGGCTCTGGACGGGTGCGAGGGGCTGGTAACCCCTTCACCTTCAATTAATTACCACGAAACCACGAATTAAACTGAAATATGTAACAACTAAGCTTGTGCCGGAGGCCCCGGGGGGCCAGGCGTCTATGACGTCTCCTGGCCAAACCCCAATTGGCGGAGCCAGGAGATTGAATACCTACCCTCGGGGCTACTCCAGAAACAACGAAAAGCCACTACGGGTGGCCACGTGGAATGTTCGAACGCTCACTGCAGAGGAGAGGCTGCCACTCCTCTGTCGGGAGCTGGACCGGTACCGCCTGGATCTATGCGGCATTCAGGAGGTCCGGTGGACCGGCTCTGGCTCCTGCCACCATGAGGGGTGGACAGTCCTCTACTCGGGGCAGCAGACTGCCAAACAACAGGGTGTGGGTCTTCTTTTGAACAAAAGAATGAAGGGGGCGTGGGAGCGTGGCGGTGAGGTGTGGGAAGCTGTAAGCCCCAGGCTACTTTGGGCTCGCCTTCCCATCAACCGGAGGCGAGGAATGGTGGTCGTGGTTACTTATGCCCCCACCGAAGATGAACATCCGTGGAGGGATGCAGGCAAAGCCGATGAGTCAGATGCCTTCTATGACCTCCTGTCACAGGTGCTGGCTAAAGTGGCCCCTCGGGATAGAGTCATCATGTTGGGTGACTTCAATGCCCGAGTTGGTCATGATGCTGGCACCTGGTCTGGAGTGATTGGAGGGCATGGGCCAGATCAGCTCAATAACAATGGTAGGAGGCTGCTAGATTTTTGTGCAGCCCATGGGCTTGTAATTACCAACACGCTGTTCCGGCATCGGCGCATCCACACAACATCATGGATGCATGCCGGGTCCAAGCAAGAACATCTGCTGGACTACATAGTGACGGACCAGCGAATGCGAGCCCATGTCCTTGACACCAGGACCTACCGTGGAGCTGATCTGCCCTCTGACCATCGACTAGTCATCTGTAAGATGCGCCTGCCATTCTTCCACTCCGGTGGTGGGTGTACACCCAGGACCCCATTCCAACCTAAAGTGGCCTGGTCTCAGTTATCTGATGAAAGTTGCAAGCGAGAATTTCATCATCGCTTGCGGCTGGGATTGGCATCGTCCCCGACTCCTCCTGATGTCGAGGGTAAATGGGCGAGGTTTAGGACTGTGACTCATGCAGCTGCAATGGCTGCTTTGGGTACGCGGTCCAGACCTCCCCAGACACCCTGGCTGACAGAGGAGTTGTTCAGGATGGTTGAGAAAAAGCGACAGGCCCACTGTCATCGGCTACAGAATCCCACGTCAGAGAATGAGGAGGCTTACCGCAGCCTTCGCTCGGAGGTTCGGAGAGCCGTGAGGCGCTGCAAGGATGGGTGGTGGTCGCGGGTTGCTGAGGAGATGGAGTCTGCCTCAGTGGCCCGTGATCACAAATCTCTATTTAACTCCATCAAAAAAGTAACCTGCAGCGCCACACCTATTACCATCATTAGGGGAAAAAACGGTGATCCAATTTCCGACCCCCAGGAACAGGTTCGCAGATTTGCTGAGCATTTCTGTGAGGTCCTGGGGGAGGGAAAATCCCTCAGCCAGGAAAACATCGTGGCACAAAGTGAGGATGACCCTGCTGAGGCTGCGGTGCCTCAAATATTGGATGAAGTCACCCCCTGTGAGTGGCTGGCTGAGGTTCAATCTGCTGAGGAAGTATTGAAGGCGATCCGGAGTCTGAGACCAGGAAAGGCAGCGGGCAGAGATGATCTCCCAAGCGAAATGCTGAGGGAGGGTGGCGTTTGTGCACAGACTGCCCTATATGACATCATAACAACAGTCTGGACCACTGGACGGGTTCCGCAGGATTGGAAGGATGCCCTGGTGGTCCCCCTTTTTAAGAAGGGGGACCGCACAGACTGTAACAACTACAGGGGCATCTCACTCCTCAGTGTGCCAGGAAAGGTCCTGGCAAGGATTATTCAGCATCGCCTTGCCAGGCACGCTGAGGAGAGGCTTGCGGAGCCCCAATGCGGTTTCAGGAAAGGGCGGTCCTGCACAGATGCCATATTTTCTGTCCGTCTGCTACAGCAGAGGTGTAGGGAATTCCAACAAGACCTACATCTCTGCTTTATTGACCTGGTCAAGGCCTATGATACCATCAGTAGGCCTGGGCTCTGGGTCGTTCTTCGTGCTTTTGGAGTACCTGACCCTCTGCTCACGATCATTAAGGACCTTCATGATGGTGAGCGGGCCCGGGTAAAACTACGTGGCCGGGAGTCAGAGCCATTCCCTGTACACCTTGGGGTGCGACAGGGATGTCCTCTGGCTCCCACATTATTTAACATCTATTTTGACCACGTAGTTCGTGAAGCCTTCAATAGCTGTACCGGGGGAATCTCCATATGGTACAGATATAATGGGAGGCTAATCGATGCCCGGGTGCGGTCAAGGGATGGCTCCCTATTGCTCAACCACGTTATGTATGCTGATGATTTGGTAATAGCTGCTCAGTCAGAGGAGGAGTTGGAGACGCTGCTGCTGAGACTGGAGCGTGCCACTAAGAGGTGGGGCCTTACCATCAGCCCCACCAAAACTAAGCACCTGCCTGGGTATTTTGTACCATCGGACACTCCACCCCCACAACTCCCAATCGGTGATGGGGCAGTTGTGGAGAGAGTGGAGAGTTTCCCATACCTGGGCAGTGTGCTTATGACTGGCTCCAGTTTAACAGCAGAGGTCTCACTCCGAATCAGTCGAGCGGCAATATCTTTTCATCGGTTGCGTAACGCTGTGTGGAAGCTACCTGGTCTGTCGCTCCGCACTAAGCTTCAGGTCTTCTCGGCCACGGTCATTCCCTCCCTTCTCTACGCCTGCGAAACGTGGACCCCCCTGGTGGAACATCTTCGCCGGTTAGAAACATTTAGGCTGGCCTGCCTACGATCCATCCTGGGTTTAACCAGACTGGATTGTGTGAGGAGCTCACAAATCCTTGAAAGATCTGGGCAGGGTCCCATCGGTGAGCTCCTCCGGCAGGCAAGGCTGCGATGGCTGGGTCATGTAGCCCGCATGCCCAGCCACCGCATGCCGAAACAGCTTTTGTTTGGCCGGATTGAGGGGGCTAAGCGGGCGCGGCACGGGCTAGAGAAGAGATGGAGTGATGTGGTACAGGAGGACGTGGAGCTGAGTGGACTTGCCGATGACTGGTACCAGCGGTGTCAAGAACGGCCTCTGTGGAGGAGGCTCGTGAAGGATGCTACTGGGCAGTTGGAGGCAGTCGCCCTCCAACAACAACGGAGGGCGGAGGAGCGACGCTCACAACAACGAGCGGAACGCCGGGTGGCTAAAGCACAGCAGGTTGGCACAGTAGGGGGCACAGGTGGTGCATCAGCCAGTCATCTCAGTCAGTCGACCCGTGGCACCTGGGTCTGCCCAGTGACCTCCTGCCAGCGGGCGTTCGACACTTCACGTGGCCTCACGGTGCACATAGCCTGGCACAAGCGTCGTGGTGACGTCACCGCCAATTAGTGGCGAATGGCGGTTGTTGTTGTAACACTGGAGCACTGTGTGTAACACTGGAGCACTGTGTGTGTGTGTGTGTAACACTGGAGCACTGTGTGTGTGTAACACTGGAGCACTGTGTGTGTGTGTAACACTGGAGCACTGTGTGTGTGTAACACTGGAGCACTGTGTGTGTGTGTGTAACACTGGAGCACTGTGTGTGTGTGTAACACTGGAGCACTGTGTGTGTGTGTAACACTGGAGCACTGTGTGTGTGTGTAACACTGGAGCACTGTGTGTGTGTGTAACACTGGAGCACTGTGTGTGTGTGTAACACTGGAGCACTGTGTGTGTGTGTAACACTGGAGCACTGTGTGCGTGTGTAACACTGGAGCACTGTGTGTGTGTAACACTGGAGCACTGTGTGTGTGTAACACTGGAGCACTGTGTGTGTGTGTAACACTGGAGCACTGTGTGTGTGTGTAACACTGGAGCACTGTGTGTGTGTGTGTAACACTGGAGCACTGTGTGTGTGTAACACTGGAGCACTGTGTGTGTGTAACACTGGAGCACTGTGTGTGTGTGTAACACTGGAGCACTGTGTGTGTGTGTAACACTGGAGCACTGTGTGTGTGTGTAACACTGGAGCACTGTGTGTGTGTGTAACACTGGAGCACTGTGTGTGTGTGTAACACTGGAGCACTGTGTGTGTAACACTGGAGCACTGTGTGTGTGTGTAACACTGGAGCACTGTGTGCGTGTGTAACACTGGAGCACTGTGTGTGTGTAACACTGGAGCACTGTGTGTGTGTGTAACACTGGAGCACTGTGTGTGTGTGTAACACTGGAGCACTGTGTGTGTGTGTAACACTGGAGCACTGTGTGTGTGTGTGTAACACTGGAGCACTGTGTGTGTGTAACACTGGAGCACTGTGTGTGTGTAACACTGGAGCACTGTGTGTGTGTAACACTGGAGCACTGTGTGTGTGTAACACTGGAGCACTGTGTGTGTGTGTAACACTGGAGCACTGTGTGTGTGTGTAACACTGGAGCACTGTGTGTGTGTAACACTGGAGCACTGTGTGTGTGTAACACTGGAGCACTGTGTGTGTGTGTAACACTGGAGCACTGTGTGTGTGTGTAACACTGGAGCACTGTGTGTGTGTAACACTGGAGCACTGTGTGTGTGTGTAACACTGGAGCACTGTGTGTGTGTGTAACACTGGAGCACTGTGTGTGTGTGTAACACTGCAGCACTGTGTGTGTAACACTGGAGCACTGTGTGTGTAACACTGGAGCACTGTTTGTGTGTGTAACACTGGAGGACTGTGTGTGTGTGTAACACTGGAGCACTGTGTGTGTGTGTAACACTGGAGCACTGTGTGTGTGTGTTTAACACTGGAGCACTGTGTGTGTGTGTAACACTGGGGAGCGGCGGTGCAGTGGTTAGCGCACTCCGGTACGAATCCCCCGACCCGGATATCTGAACCGGTCCTCATCCTTCCCTAGGTCAACTCAGCCTTAAATCGGCACTGGGGAGGAAAAAAACGGCGGAAATGTTGTTGTCCACTCGCCCTCTCGGGTGCCACGCCGGTCTCAATAGCTGCTCGCAAACAGCGCTTGCCCCGAGCAGTCTGTTGAGGCTGCACGGGGTCGAGTCTCTGTCTTGACGCGAGAGCGGCGTGTGCACGTGCGTCCGTCTAGCACTGGAGCGCCTGGGTCTGGCGGGCAGCATGGGCGAGCTGCGCGCGTGTCACGCCGAGTTCCGTGCGCTGGCGCTGTCTCGCCGCCGCCGCGCCACCCGTCGCCTCGAGGCGCTTGGCGTGCCGGAGCCGGAGCTGCTGCGCCAGCAGCAGGCGCTCATTGAGCAGGCGAGGCGCGAGCTGTTACCCCCCACACCCCCTCCCCCCCGGACCCTTTCCCCCGCAACGCGCGTGCAGTCCCATCACCGTCGTTTACGCTCGAGTATTTAGCACGTTGTGCCGAGTGGCACTCGGTCGCGTGCACAATGCGCGTGATGCTACTGTGCGAGGAGGTACACTAATAAAGCAAACGAGAAGCAACCTCCTCTGTTTTATTAGCAGCGTCATGGCGCTCACGTTGGCGTGAATGCGGTCGTGTTAGCATGGAGCTGCATGTGCAACACGAGTGTGTGTGCTAACCCTTTCCCGTTCCGAGGCGACTGCAGGTTGCAGGCTGGGATGTCCCGTTCACTGGTAAATCTCGGAACGCGTAAGCGGTTGGTTTTATTTGGAGAGGCGGCGTAGCGCCGTTGTTTTTCAAGACATTGTAGTCACCGTAGAGAACTGTAGCGACACGACCGCACTCTACAATCGCTGGCGCCAAACTGTGCCACACGCCCTCCCGCATGGCCTTGTGGAAGCTTCGATACCGATAAAAGTTCTTTCATCTTCGTTTTTCTTCTGGTTACGTACATGATGACGTACTTGTACGCCATCAGAATGGGCAAGCGGCTGACGCCGTTATCACAGCACCAGGAGCACAGAACTCTCCTTTAGCCGCAAACGCTCATGTTTCAGAATGTTGTGATCAAAACAGCAAACGTTAACGGTGTAAAGGAGTACACGGCAAAGTGGAACCGTGCTCTTTATGAAGCCAACCCACACCACGACGCTTCGAGCAAGCAGAATCGCAAAGGCACATTTAGTCCTCGGACCTAAGAGTTCTCAACCCATTCCTCTCTCCTGACCAATGCCACTTGAATCTCCCCAAGGGGTTTTGTTTTAGCGGACCCCAGTTTTACCAATTTAATTTCCCCAGGGTTTTGTACTCTTCACCTTCCCTGGCAAATCAAAAGGTGAGCGGCCTCGCACTACGCAAATCGGGCAAACGCTCGTTGCAAGCTCGTGTAAACCTGGCGCTTCGCAAGCCCCTGTCCGTGACAGCGGGCGATGGGGAAAATGCTCCGCATTCAAATGATCAGTCGTTAACCTGTCGTGGGCTGGAGTGTTCTCATTATTAACCAATTGGGTAAGGTTTGTGTGAGCGATTTATATGGAGCTCATATTTGTCTACTCAAAATTCGCCGTATGCAGTTTGAATTTACTCATATGCGGCTATGCGGTCTGACGTGGTACAACATTGTCTGGACTGAATGTGCTACCCAGCAGGCTATGCGGTCAGACGTGGTACAACATTGTGTGGACTGAATGTGCTACCCAGCAGGCTATGCGGTCTGACGTGGTACAACATTGTGTGGACTGAATGTGCTACCCAGCAGGCTGTGCGGTTGGACGTGGTACAACATTGTGTGGACTGAATGTGCTACCCAGCAGGCTGTGCGGTTGGACGTGGTACAACATTGTGTGGACTGAATGTGCTACCCAGCAGGCTATGCGGTTGGATGTGGGACAACATTGTGTGCTCTATGTACTGTGTGTACCATATTCTACTACTCTGCACGCAGCGGTCATCGTGCGGTTTCGCTTTGTGCGCCGTTTTATTGGAAGGCATTTACCGGATGAAGCGAGGGAAGCCTGCACTCGGGTACTGGGCGATTCTGGCTGGGTGGCGTTGCGTCTTGGCACCCTATTCACAATTAGAACGGCATGAGTTTAAATCTCAGCTGAGGGTAAATTCAGCCAATCATCCCTCTGGGAGTTAATACATTCAGTGATTCTTCGTGTTTTTTCGTGAGAATTCAAGGTGGTTGTTATCCAGCGGGCTGGTCCATACCGTATACCTGGTAAACATGGAACATTAGGCTGACGTTTGGCGATCGTTTGTCCAACAGTTCCAACCACATGCCAATGTTTGCCCAACGTTAATATTTACTGGGTGAATGACATTTTCCCTGCCAGCTCAGGACTGCCAATGAGTTGGATGAGCTGTGTACAGACGTGTTTTGAAGGTTTTTTTAAAAAATAATCCTTGGAACATTGATTTATAATCCCTGGAACATTGATGCAACAAGTGCATTGACCTTCAAGTTGACCATGCATAATGATAATTGTTTGAGCAAGGTCAGTTAATCCAATGCAGGCCATGGACTTGTGCGTGCCTGAGTGTGCTCATGCCATGGACTCGTGTGTATGTTGAACTTCTTTCGCACCGTACATAGCCAACCGTGCTAATTGGAGGTGCAGGGAACTTGTGTGTGTGTGTGTGGGGAGCGATAGTGTAGCGGTTAGCGCGCTGCGCTATGAACCTGGCGACCCGGGTTCGATTCCCGCTCACGGCCAACACCAGTGACGATTATCTGAACCGGTCCCGGGCCTCCCCTAGGTCGACTCAGCCTCAAATGAGTACCTGGTGCGGTGTGTAAACATCGCCACTGGGGAGACAAAGGCGGCCGGGCGTGGTGTTGGCCACCCACCCCCTCGTGTGCCGTGCCGGCCTTTGTGTGTGCGCGCAAACCACGGACACGTGCGTGCCTGCGTGTGTGCAAGCTACGGACTCCTGCCTGTCTGCGTGTGTGAGTGTCTTTGTGTGTTTGCGTGTGTGCGTGTTCGTGCGTGTGTTTGCGTGTCTGAGTGTCTGCGTTTGTACGTGTCTCCGTGTGTGTGTGTCTTTGTCTCTGTGTGTGCGTGTTCGTATGTGTGTGTTTACGTGTGTGCATATGTACGTTGTGTCTGCGTGTGTGCGTGTCTGAGTGTCTGCGTGTGTGCGAGTGTCTTTGTCGTGTGTCTGTCTGTGTGTGTGTGTGCGCGCGCAGGCCCGGCAAGAGCAGACAGAGGTGGCTCAGCGCGACTGGCTGCAGATCCAGCGCGCCGCCGAGCAGGCCCAGCGCAGCTCCACCGCGGACAGCCCCGGCGAGTCCTCGGGGACCGAATACGTCATCGACGAGGACGACGATGATGACATCACAGACGACTAGACTGCGATGCCATCATTGTGAGCGAGGGAACTGGGCGGAAGACGCGCAGCGGCTGCGTGATGCCGAGTCGTTTTTGTTGTTGTTGTTAATTTGGTTAGTGATAGCTTTCGAACGTCTGACCAGGACGTGACGGTCCGCACGGTGGTGGTTTTCTCGTGCAGCGCAGCTCGACGCGATCGTTTGCAAATTACCCGTAGGGAATTTAACCGTCGGATAATTGCAAAGCAGCCCATCGGTGTGAGGCAAGTGTGTGACGTTCACTCAATACACGCAAGTGTCTCTCGTGAAGCAAGACTCGGCGAAACAATAGCGTGCAGTCGAGCAAGTACAGACGACACGGGTGCCTAGATATTGAGCACCGGTAGGATGGTCTAAACATGACAAACAGTAAAAGCTTAACACTCATTCGTGACGATCGATGAAATCGCACGTAGGGGGAGGGTAAATTGTCACATGCTTACCGTTTACTAGGTGATTAGTCACGAACCGTTCGCTGAACAAGCACTAAGAGACTGGCGCACGCATGCCTGTAGACACATGGGGGTGTGTACGTATGTATGTAAAAAAGTAATAAATGAAAACCCACAAATTAACAGAAATCTATGGGGTAAAAAAACCCCCACGTGTTTCTTGTGCAGGCATCTCGCTTGAGTGACCCGATGGAGTGGTGCCACCCCAAATGCGTTGGCTTCCCTCTGCATTACATCTAAGTGACGTGCAAGTCAACGTTTGTGAAATATCCACAAAGGCCAAGTTGAGATTCCAATGGCAGTCCCCCGTTCAGTGAGTTTCCCCTCTCTCCGATACATCAATCGGAGCGTTCACGCAGCTTCTGGCAGCGGTCCTGGAAGTTTTCAGCAGGAGCGTTCCTACTGCATTGTTGCCTTTACTTTCACGCCTTCTGTCTTCACCGTCGCTTGTTCGGGGAGAGCGTGTTGCTCAATGCGTCTTCTGCCTAGGCCGCTTGTGTAAATTCAAGCCGAGAACGGTCGTGGGGCGTGCGTTTTTAGTCCGGCAGTGCGGAGGCAGCGACGGTTGGTGGATCGCGCGTGTTGAGAAACTCTGTGACGTTCGTTACGTTCAAGATGAGACTTAAAAACAAGACTATTGTTGAGCAGGGTCCTATGTTGGGATGTTTGGCCAATTCCATGCAAGGCCGTTTGGCAGGAAACCAGAGCACTTGGAGAATGTGCATGCATGCGCGTTGAGAACACTCGGAGCTCAACCCAAATTGACTCCTCGATACATTGCCGTGTTTCCATCACTAAACTACTGCAGGTGTTCCAGCAAAAGAGACGGGGGAAAGTTTTGCATTCAAAGGCAAACATTTGTCATTAAAATGTTAGTGTTGGACAAGCGCTATTATCAAGCACATGCTGACACTGTCATTTACGTTTTTGAACGAGCGGAATGATGAAGCCGACCAGTAGCTCGGGCTTGCTACCATTTCCTATTGAATCGGAACATTGCTAGGACCTTTTTGCTTGATAAATTGTCTGCTTTGAATGTCCACACACAGGCAACAAGAACAACTGCCATTTGCTACGAAGTGGCGGTGACGTCACCACAGCACCTGTGCCAGCCTATATGCACTTTAAGGCTACGTGAAGTGTCGAACGCCTGCTGGCAGGTCATGGAGAGACCCAGGTGCCATGGGTTGACTGGCCGATGCACAATCTGTGCCCCCTACAATGCCAACTTGCTGTGTTTTAGCCGCCTGGCGCTCCACTCATTGTTGTGAGCGTCACTCCTCTGCCCTCCTTTGTTGCCGGAGGGCGGTTGCCTCCAACTGCCCCGTAGCATCCTTCACGACTCTCCTCCACAGAGGCCAATCTTAACACTGCTGGTACCAGTTATTGGAAAGTCCATATCCTCTTGCACCACATAATTCCATCTCTTTTCGAGCCCGTGCTGTGTCTGTTTAGCCCCCTTTATCCAACCAAACAAAAGCTGTATGGGCATGTGTGCTCCATGACCCAGCCAACGCAGCCTTGACTCCTGGAAGAGCTCACCGATGGGACTGTCCAGATCTTTAGAGGATTTGTGAACTCACAAATCCAGCCTGGTTAAACCCAGGATTGATCGTAAGCATGGCAGCCTGAATGTTTCTAACTGGCGAAGATTAGAGGGTCCACATTTCGCAAGCATAGAGAAGGGAGGACATGACTGTGGCCGACAGAACCTGAAGCTTTGCATGACCGGGTAGCTTCCATACAGCGTTACATTGCCGATGAAAAGGTAATGCCGCTCGACTGATTCGGAGCGACACCTCTGCTGTCAAACTGGAGCTGGTTTTTGCACACTGCCCAGGTATGGTGGAGTGTTTGATGACACAATACCCAGTCAGGTGCTTAGTTTTGGAGCGGCTGATGGTAAGGCCTCGCCTCTGGATAGCACGTTCCAGGTTCAGCGGCAGCGTCTCCAACTCCTCGGTGAAAAGCAATGACTAGATCATCAGCATACATAACATGGTTGACCAATAGGGAACCATCTCTCGACCGCACCGGAGCATCGATCAGCCTCCCTTTGTATCTGTACCAGATGGAAATTACTCCGGTACAGCCATGGAAAGCTTAAACTACGTGGTCGAAAAAGGTGTTTAAATAATGTAGGGGCCAGAGGATAATAATGTCGCACCCCAAGGTGAACAGGGAATGGCTCTGACTTCAGGCCTCGTCGCTTTACCCGGGCCCGCTCACCATCATGAAGGTCCTTAATGATTGTGAGCCGAGTGTCAGGGACTCCGAAAGCATGAAGAACAACCCAGAGCCGAGAGGCCTCTTGATGGTATCATAGTGCCTTGACCAGGTCAATAAAGCCAGAATGAGTTGGAAGTATCCACGATTTACCCCGCCATGCGCCAGAAGTCGGCAATGGCGTGAGCGAGCCATAGCCAAGCCTTGTACTATAATTGTAAGTGTGGGATTACTCTCCAACACACAACCGGTGTGCTGAATTAGTAACGAATTGGCATGTTTTGTTTACGTGACTAACCTTACTAATTGGTTGTGTCGGGTGGGTTTATCGACAGAATTATATGATCTAACCCAAACAAAAACCTGTATTGTGTACGCTTGCTGTTGGTTGTGGCTAGTGTTGTTATTGTAGTGGTGTCGGTTTGTTGGTGGTAATTGTGGTTGATGTTAGTGGTGGCTGTTGGTGGTGATATTTTAATATTGATCATGGTGGTGGTTGACGTTAGTGGGCAGCGGTAGTGTAGCAGTTAGTGTGCCGCGCTACAAACCCGGCGACCCGAGTTCTATTCCCGTTCACGGCCAACACCGGTGACGATAATCTAGACCGGCCTCCCCTAGGTCGACTCAGCCTCAAATTAAGACAAAGGCGATCGGGCGTGGTTGTTGGCCACCGACCCCCTCGTGTACCGTGCCGGCCTTCATTGGTGCTCGCTAACAGCACTTGCCCAAACAGTCTGTAAAAGCCATACGGGGGATCTTTGTCTTTGGTTGACGTTATAGGTCGTGGTGTTAGTTGTTGGTGGTGATGGTTGTTGTTGATGGTAGTAGTGGTTGTTAGTCGTCATTGTAAGTGCCTTGGGTTTAGCTGGTGGCTGGTGGTGATTATTGTTCGTTCTGGAATTGGGCTTGTTGTTGTCGTGGTGTTTTGTGCTAGTCGTGTGCTGGTGGTGGTAGTTTGTTGTCGGGGGTATTGTTGGTTGTTTGTTTTAGTGGTGTCTGTTGGTGTTGTGGTAGTAGCGGTGGTTTATTTCTGTTGATTGTTGGTGGCTTCGTTCGTGTGGTGGTGGTTGTAAATGGTGGTTGCTGTTGGTTGTGGAGTTCTTTTTGAGGTAATTGTTGTTGGTTGTGTAGTTGTCGTTGAGGTGATTGTTGTTGGTTGTGGAGTTGTTGAGGTGATTGTTGGTTGTGGAGTTGTTGAGATGATTTGCTTGTCAGCTTCGATGTAGTCTCTGTTCACCAAGGTACCTGTACCTGACACGATAGCAATCATTGAAGACTTGGTCCAACAGGGACTGAATCCTGATGTACCAACTTTGGTGAGGCGCTGTCTTACCAACACTTACTTCATCTGGAATGGTACATTCTACAAACGAAATGAAGGCACCCTTATGGGCTCTCCCTTATCACCAGTGGTAGCGAATGTCTTCATGGAGAAATTTGAAACAGATGCCATCCTGACATCCACCCTACGTCCTTCCCTGTGGAAGAGATACGTAGATGACACTTTCGTCATCTGGCCACATGGCCAGTCAGCACTGAACCAGTTTTTCAACCACATAAATTCCATACACCCATCTATCAAATTCACCATGGAAGTGGAAAATGATGGCAAGCTACCATTCCTGGATGTTTTGATCGAGAAGAGGCCTGATGGCTCTTTGGGACATTCCGTCTACAGGAAAGCCACCCACACGGATTCCTATTGAAAGTCTGACTCCCTCATCAAAACCACACCATAGGGCCCGCTGCATCTCCGACCAGCGCCACCTAGCCAGTGAACTGGAGCACATACACCAAGCCCTCAAGATGAATGGATACTCAGACCGCACAATCCCCAAAGCTGTAGTCCCAACCACGGGGAGACAACCATCTGAGGACCCAATCAAAACCATCACCTTGCCATACATGGCATGTGTTACCAAAAAGATTTCCAAAATCTTTAACAAACATAAGATCCAGGTCCGATTCAATACAGTACACAAAATCCGTGATTTTATCCCATCTGTAAAGGATGTCATCCAGACATGCAATACCCTGGTGTCTACAAGCTAAGTTGTGTCTGCGGCAGCAGTTACATTGGGGAAACGAAACGACATGTCTCGGACCGTGTTCGCGAACACAAGGCAGTTTTAAAACACGGCAGAACCAATACCTCTGCAGTGGCTGATCATTGTTATAACGCTGTGGGCTCGCACGATATTGTTTTTTTCCGAGACCAAGGTACTCTGCAAACCTTCGGGCTACCATCAAAGATTTGTTCATGAAGCCATCCAGATGTATAAACACAGACAATTTCAACCGAGAAGATGGGTATAAGGGGCCGTCCATAAATTACGTCACGCGATTTTGGACGATTTTTGACCCCCCTCCTCTTCACACGGCGTCACAAAAAGTCAGACACCCCCTCAAATATGACGTCACAAAGCTCTGCCCCCCCCCCCCCCAAAAAAAAAACCTGCTTCAAATCAAATTTGATTTAAAGCTTTCGTGACTGCAGTAATTCATATCCTTAGCGCTTTCGGTAAAGTCACGTTGAAGGGAAACAACAAAACAATAAAATATATTGTTTTTTATATATTTTATTGTTTTGTTGTTTCCCTTCAACGTGACTTTACCGAAAGAGCTAAGCATATGCTTCAAATCACTTTAAACTATTGTCATTGTAGTACGTATTTAATGTGGCGCTGCACTGATGTTGTAGGATACAATTTTTAATGAAAAGTGTATTTAATTAAGCAGAACGTACTCTTTGGTTCTATTCGGTAAAGTCACGTAGATAAAAAATAAAACAAAAATCACGACGTTTCGGCCACAACACAAGCGGCCTTCATCAGGTGAAGGGATCAGGCTGTCTCGAGGACAGCGCTGGAGTGAAACACAGCCACGCTCAGACCGTGGACCTTTAAGCTGTGTGCGAGGAAACAAGGTGCCATGACAAAGGAATTAGCATAAAAAAATAGCATTTGATTGGCCGACTTAGCATAGAGGTGGTGTACGTGCGGGTGGACTTGCCGTTTGGCGCGGGGGGGGGGGGAGTTTACTTATTGATGGTGTGAAAAGGGATTTTTTAAGAGCTGCGAAAGTTTGGGGTACCATTACTTGAAAAATATACTGTACCATTGAAAATTATAATCTTAGCTCTTTCGGTACAGGGCTCCAGGCTCAGGTACAGAGACTCAAGACTCAGGTACAGAGACTCCAGATTCAGGTACAGAGACTCAAGATTCAGGTACAGAGACTCCAGACTCAGGTACAGAGACTCCAGACTCAGGTACAGAGACTCAAGATTCAGGTACAGAGACTCCAGACTCAGGTGCAGGGTTCCAGACTCAGGTACAGAGACTCCAGATTCAGGTACAGAGACTCCAGACTCAGGTACAGAGACTCCAGACTCAGGTACAGAGACTCAAGACTCAGGTACAGAGACTCCAGGCTCAGGTACAGAGACTCCAGACTCAGGTACAGAGACTCCAGGCTCAGGTGCAGGGTTCCAGACTCAGGTACAGAGACTCCAGACTCAGGTACAGAGACTCCAGGCATAGGTAGAGGGCTCTGTGAAGGTTGTAGACTGTAGAGTCTTAAATTACAAGCATACAGCTCCGTACCCCTGCGTTCACCTTGTAAGAAATGAGTGGAAGAGATACCTCCTAAGAACCCCCTCATCAGGCA